GGGGAGACTGCATGTGGGTGCTGTGCCCCTAAGGTCCAGTTCAGGCTGTGGCAGGTCTCAGATACTCTTCCTGTCCATCCCCCTGGGACCAGCCAAAGGAGAAATCATGAGGATGGGCCCAGGTTCCTAATCTGTGGAAACTGTGGGCTACTGGTCCTGGCTGAGCAATGCCCAGGGGCTGGCAAGGCCGTTTTCATAGTTAGAGGCAGACTGTCTGCTGGAACTGGGGACCACATCTACCAGGGGAAAATGTCCTGTGTGGCTTCAGTCCCCACCTTGGACATGAGGGCGTGAGATGCCAGAGGTGAGGAAGACATGCACAGAACATAAACTAGCCTGTGCTTGCCTGGGATGGGCTCAGAGATGCAGAGGTGGGTGTGGCAGGGAGACGAGGGAGCAGCAGGAGTACGTAGAACAGGCCTGGTTTTTGAGGGCTGGCTCTCTTCTGGCCCCGCTGCCCACAAATCAAGTCAAACCTGGGCAAGGGAGGTGTCACCAGAAGGAAGCAGAATTTGAGGAGAAAGTACCAGCTTTCCTAGAGCAAGTGAGGGGTGGCCCACAGGGCCACTTCCCATCCTTAGGACTATTAGGTCTTTGATTCTTTTCTGTTTCTTCTCTACAGACAAGCAGTGCAAGTCTAGGTCCTGCCGACTAGAAAACTCAGGTAGGGCTGCAGGCCTCTGGGACAGGGGCTGCGTTGGGGGATGCACAGGCTGCCCTGGGTGGCTCCTTTATAAGAAAAACCACCCTCTTCTAATGAAAAAGAAAAAATAAATTAACCCTCTAGAGCAGACACCTGTGGGGATTGCTAACCTCTCCCAGGGGATGTAAGGGGCAGTGGCTGGGCGAGCTGTCACACCTGCCCCCTCTCTGGGCCTCCCTCCCTCACAGGAGACAGCTGATCAGACCCCAGAGAGGTCCTTCTCGCAGAGGTGATGGAGGGCAGGGCCGATCTCACACAGTCCTCCCCGGGCCTTCTCTTCCCTCACCTGTCCCCATGACTGCCCTCAGCGCTCCCTCAGACCACCTTCCAAGGTGGAGGCTGGTATTAGAGACCTAGACTCTAGTCCAGGCCCTGCCCTAACTCTCTTTGGTGACCAATTTTTCCTCTCTGGGCCTCAGTTTCCCTATCTGTATAAAAAACCAATCGGATTAGATGATTCCCAGGTCACTTTCAGCCATGACTTCCCTTCCCTTCAACACCTGCTGGGCCAGGGCCCACCTGGGCCACCGCTTCTCTAGTTGGGAACAGGCTTTTCCAAGGGAACCTATTGGAACAGGCCATTCCCAGGGAAGAAACCACAGCTGCCCTCCTCGTGGGTCTCTCCTCCCTCCCTCTGGGCTCTGTGAACAGTGGACAAAAAGGAGCCCCAGCCTCCACTGTGTCCTCATCATTCTCCATGACACAGCACCACTCAGAGTTCCAGGCGCACCAGGCCATGAATCCACACCAAGAGCCAGCTGTGGGTACTGTCATCACCCCTGTTCTACAAATGAGGGAACTAGGGTACAGAGAAGTGAATCAACCAGCCCTACACCACACAGCTAGTAAGGGGTGAGGTTCAGACAGACTGACCCTAGAGCCAAACTCTGAACCACCATTCCAGGCTGGCCCCTCCTCCCCGCAACCATTTCACTTTATCCTTTACTGCACAGTAATCTATCGGAAGGAGGCGGAACAGGGAGTATTACCCTCATTATAAAGTAAAGTGAGACCCAGAGACGGAAGTGACTTTCCCAAGGTGACAGAATGAGTTAGTGTCAGAGCCAGGGCCAGAAGCCAGGTCGCCAGCCTCCAACCTGCTTCTTTGAGATGTTTTTTTAAAGTATATTTTTATTGATTTCAGAGAGGAAGGGAGAGGGAGAGAGAGAGAGAAACATCAACGATAAGAATCATTCATTGGCTGCCTCCTGCATGCCCCACGCTGGGGATCGAGCCCGAAACCTGGGCATATGCCCTGACCTGGAATCCAACTAAGACCTCCTGGTTCGTAAGTCAACGCTCAACTCTTGAGCAACGCTATCCAGGCGCTTGAGTTTTGATAATGAAATTTCATGCACTGGAAAAGTTTAAGATCTCCCCCACCTCTGGCCCACCAGCACCTCTCCTACCAGGGTTTGGGCAGAGAAGCTAAGATCAGCATCACTAGTTCCCATTCAGATCTCCACCCGTTTCACCCACCCTGTGATGCCTCATGTGTGTCCATAGGAGGCAGGAAGATAGACCTAATCACCCTGGTATGTCCTAGTCTCTTCATCTCTGTTTGCCTTCTTCCTTAAATTCTTTTTTTAAATTAAATTTATTGGGGTGACATTGGTTAATAAGATTATTTAGGTTTCAAGTGTACATTTCTACGATACATGGTCTGTGTACTGCACTGCCTGCCCACCAGCCAAAGTCAAATCACCTCTCATCGCCATACACTTGACCCTTTTACCCTTTACTACCCCCACTCCCTTCCCTCTGGTAACCACTGCACTGTTGTCTGTGCACATGAGTTTTTGTTTGTTCATTTCAGTTTTATATCTCACATATGAGTAAATTCATGGTTCTTTTTAAAAAATTTATCTTTATTGTTGAAAGTATTACAGATGTCACCCTTTTTCCTCCCACTGACCCCTTCCACCCCACTCCCCCCCTCCCATGTTTTTTTTAAATTTTTTAAAGACTTCAGAGAGAGAGAGGGAGAGATAGAAACATCAATGATGAGAGAGAATCATTGATTGGCTGCTTCTTGCATGCCCCCTCCTGGGGATCGAGCCCACAACACGGGAATGTGCCCTTGACCGGAATCGAACCCAGGATCTTTCAGTCCCCAGGCCGACACTCTATCCACTGAGCCAAACCAGCTAGGGTCCCCCATATGGTTCTTAACTTTTTTCTGACTGACTTATTTCACTTAGCATAATAATTCTATCCACGTTGTTGCAAATGGCAGTATTTCATCTTTTCTTATGTATTCCATTGTATATATATACCACACCCTCTTTATCCAATCATCTATCAAAGGACGATTTCTTTCCATGTCTTGGCCACTGTGAATAATGCTGCAGTGAAGATAAGGGTGCATCTATCTTTGTGAATAAATGTTTTCAAAATTTTCAGGTAAATACCCAAAAAAAGGGGTTGCTGGGTCATATGGTAACTCTATTCCTAATTTTTTGAGGAGCCTCCATACTGTTTTCCACAGTGGCTGCACCAGTTTACATTCACACCAACAGTAAATGAGGGTTCCTTTTTCTCCACAATCTCTCCAACACTTATTACTTGTGTTGATAACAGCCGTTCTAACAGGTGTGAGGTGGCATTTCATTGTAGTTTTGATTTCATTTCCTAATAGCTAGTGAAGTTGAGCACCTTTTCATATATCTGTTGGCCGTTTGTATGTCTTCTTGAGAGAGGTATCTGCTCAGGTCATCTGCCTATTTTTTAAATTAGATTGTTTGCTTGCTGTTGAGTTGTCTGAGTTCTTTATATATTTTGGATAATAACCCCGTGTCAAAGCTGTTGTTTGCAAATATCGTCTCCCAACCTCTCTAAATTCTTGCTCTTCATCTCTGTCTCCCATCGCACTGTAGGCACCAGTGTTTCCAGCTCACCCTGCTTGTTTTTTGTCTTGTTTCTTTGTGTAACTCACTTCACCCCCAAATATCTCTCTTCCTCTGTTTCCCTGCAGCCATGGGTCAGGGCCCTCTGTCTACAGTCTGGTCCCTTCCTCTGCTCCTCTGGTTCCTGGTCGGGGGAGTCTTCCCAGAGAGTCCAGGCCTCCTCTGACCCATCAGACTCTGAACAGCCCTGCCTGCCACCTCTGCCCAACATGAGGACGTCGGCCACATGTGTGCTTTACTATAAGCGTAGCCAAGATCCGTAGAAATGCCACCTGCAGGGAACTCTGGGACCTTCTCTGGCAGCTGCCAGGCCTGATGGTGGAGAGATAGAATTTTGGGCCTGAACTTTACCCAGTGCTCTAGGAGTGAGACATTGAAGAGAGGTAGGGGGACTCCAGGACAGGCAACAACTCACTTGGAGGTAGAAGATGAAACTCGTTTGGGCGTGGAGGTGCTGGGAGGAAAGCACGTGCCATTGTACTTGCTGGTGTCACTCACATGCCTCACCGGGACAACTGGAAATTCACTCCTATTCACGCCTCCAGGGAGCTTTCTCTGACCTCTCTGACCCTGCTGGGTTAGGGTGCTGCCTCTGTGCTCTGCAGGTCCTGGGAGCTTCTCTACACCACAGGTCCATGTCTCTTGTCCGTGACAGACTGTGAGCTTCCTGAGGTCAGGGACTGGGTTGAGGCAAAGAGGTAGATGCTGGGAAGCATGTGAAAGTCAGAAAGGAACAAATACCTGTGAACAGCTGGTCCCTGCATGGCCCTCCCTTGGATACTTTCAAGTCCTCTGAACGTCAGTGTGGGGGAATGCGATGGACAGAAGCGAACCCAGAGAGAGGAGAGCAGGAAAGACAGCAGAGAGCTTGCTTTAGGCCCTTTGCGGGGTCTTGGTCAAATCCATCATTTTCTTGTCAGCAAAGATGTAATTCCTGCTCTCACCCATGAGTCCTAAGGTTCCTGTTTCTAGACAGACAAACCTGGATCCCCATCTCCCATCACCATGGGCCCCAAGGGTAAGACAGGACATCGAGGAGGTACCAGGCACACACTCCCTTTATGAGGAATTGGGGCTTTGGGGCCAAATCTTTGTGTGGCCTCCTGCTCTGGAAACTAGATCATAAATCTGAATCCCCAAACCCCTTTCCTGAGCCCCTAGACAGGGACAGGCAAGACCAAGCTCCTATAACAGCAGCCACTGAGGAAGGAAGAGAAGGCAGGCAATGTTGCAGTTCTGTTTCGCATATAACTTGCACTCTCCCCACTGAAAACTCTAACATTCATTAATGAAGTTCAATTCTGTCCCTCTAGGACTGCACTTTGACCTTGAACCTTCTTAGAGTTCGTCCCCTATAGGAATTAAGGGAGTGGCAAGCTCTAGATTTTTCTTAGAGATCAGGATACACAGACAACAAGTGCTCCCTCGTGGTTTGTGAAGTCAGCAGTGCTGACCCTGAAAGAGGGTGTCCCAGGCTCTAGGGTGCAGTAGGGAGAGATTAGATGGCCTATCTGAGGGCCAGCAACCACCTGGTCTTCCCATCCCTGTCGCGTTGCTGTGGCTGCAGCAGACCCCGATTCACAGCGCCTGCACGAGCACCAGGAGGCTCATAACCAGGGCCATGGAGAAGAAGATGCCCAGGAAGAAGCGATCCATCACACGGGCCAGGCGTTTCCAGTCCTCGTGGCGGTGCTGGGCAGCCCGGTGGCTGCGGAAGGTGTTAGCAATGGTGGCTACATGGTGCAGCAGCTCTTCCTGATGGCACAGACACCGGGGCTCATGGCAAGGGCCTGCTGGGGGGCCAGCCCCTCCCTCAGGAGGCTGGGGGCTGGGGGGTGACTCGTGCCGTCTAGACTTCCCACAGGGCTCCCCTCGTTCTCGCACGCACAGGCCCCGTGCCAGGTATCCCAGTAGGAAAGCCCGAGCCCAGGCCGGCACTGGACGGGCACTGGGACCACAGTAATGCAAGTTCATGATAAGGATAGTGAGCGCTGTGGAGAAGGTGACCATGGTCATGGTGGCCATGTAGTACTTCCCTGCAAAAGACAGAGCGAGCGGGGGCCCAGAAAAAGAGCTCAGGGGGCCTGAGCTCCCCAGCCCCCGCAGCATGAACAGGAACCCACCATGAGGCTGTCGGACCCTCCAAGCCCAATGGATGAAAGAGGAAGGAGGTAAGGGCCAAGTCTCCCCAGTCTGCATTCCCACAAGTGGGTTCTCAGAAGCCAAGTGCTCGCTGATTTCCCCCCTCACTGCTGGAGGCTGCGTTTACCCACAAGTCACCTCTCTCATGGTTATGCCATGACATGGGGCCAGTGACGGATCCTTTCAGTACAGGGGGCCATACAACAGAACCTGCCCGTCGGTCTGTGGAGATGCTTCCCTGGGTTAATTAAGGTCCATTGCTTAGCACAGTGCTTGGCACAGTGAACACTCAGGACACTTGGCCGGTCATTATGACGCTGGGGGCAGACCTCCCTCCATCAGGTTCTTGAGAAAAGACTCTTTCCTCTGCCCCTTCCTGTAAGGCAGTGGTTCGCAACCTTGGCTGCACATTAGAATCACCTGGGAATCTTTTTAAAATCCTGATTTCTGGGCCCCATCCTCCGGAAATTCTGTTTCTTTGTTACTAATGTTGTGGCCTCACCCCATAACAAAGAAACAGAATTTCCGGAGGATGAGGCCCAGAAATCAGGATTTTAAAGATTCCCAGGTGATTCTAACGTGCAGCCAAGGCTGAGAACCACTGCTGTAAGGGAGGGTGTCCTCCCTGGAAGGGGCTTACTCCTTTCCCCTCAGTCTCGGGAACAGGCATGCTCCCAGGACGACCCCCTCACACACTGAAGCGGGGCCACTCTGGCGACCGGGGCCCCGTCCCCGCACTGGTGGGGACCCGCACGCATCAGCCGGAGTGGGGAAGGGAGGCCATTCTCTCGGAGGGGACGGCTCTTCCCCGCTCCCCCTACGCCCGCACCCCCACTGGCCGGGCCCTC